CAGCCCTCACAACACAGGAAGGGGACCAGAGCTCACCTGGGGTGACAAATCCCCATACTCTGCCCAGTCGAGATACTAACTTTTTAAACACCTGGCTTTCAAAACACTACAAAACCAGGCAATTTCAGAACCAAACAAGCTGGTGCCCCTCACCCAAACACCCTTTCCTGACACACAGTCAGTCACTGTCCCACATACACTAACTGCTCTTTATTCCATATGGGATCCCTTCCCTGTGAGACACTCTTCCAAAAGAATACAACTAAAAGCCATTTCCCTGCTCTTACATTTACACTCTGCATGCAAAGAGGTCCTGCCAAGAGTATCCCCCACCCCTTTGTTCAGCTTCCCACTGCTCTCATTTCCAAGCCTCCAAGGCAACTATAAGAAAGTTTTTCTCCAGTTGTTTTTTCCACCAACTTTGGGATGTTGCCTAACTTTTCCCCAAAAGAATCAGCAAGGAGCCCTTGTTCCCAGCAGAGGAGTACAAGATCAGGAACGTTCTGCTTTCTGGTCCAGCTTGTTCCAGCTCACAGAACGGACCCTGGCTGACTCCAGCCCTGCAGCCCCAGCATCACTTTGAGCTCTTTCCTCTGAGCGTGGTGAGTATCCTGTTTGCCATCCTTCCTGCTGCTCTCTGCCATTAGCATGATAGCATCAGGTTTTCCACTTAAGCTCCCACATCCTTTTCCTGATCAACACGTTGTACAATTGTTCCATTGACCACGCTCTGATGGAAAAAACGTACTGAGCTTGAGCCTCGTCCCCCGGAGGGCAGGACAGCAAGGGGCTGGTTTCCTTCTTCCAGCCTGCTCTGGTGCATTTACACATAACTCTGCCACAGCACCCACCTTCTCAAACAACAGTATTTTATAGGATTTACTTCACTGAATGATAAAGGTGTATAAATGATTTGTGATTTCTGCCTGTAAATATGTGACAAGGTAAGGATACCCACAGAGTCCTGTTTTACAGCCTGGGCAGCAGTGCCAGCAGTCGATGTGTTCCAGCAGACCCAGCACCAGCTCCTGCACTCCTCACACAGCCAGTGTTTCTTCCAGCCACGGCCTCATCCCTGCTGGACAGCTACAGGACTCCTCTGCTCCTACACACAAAGCACGCACAGGAGTCCTTGGCAGAACCGTGCTGTCACTCCTGCCTGGCCTGGCCGTGGTTTTGATTTCCTGCACCAAGTGCTGCCTCCCTGCAAGGGCTTCAGATTTGTGTCTGCACATTCCCTGTGATGTTTTGCCCATCATGGAGTTCCTTTTGTAGGCTCTGGTGTAAACCAGAAGTTACTTGGTGAGATGCACCTAAGCCAACACACAGGGACTAAGTTTTGGCCAATGCATGCCATCACCCCCAGCTGTCAGCCCTGACCTGGAGGTGAGGGCTGCCCAGGGAATAGGCTCTGGTGCAAACCAGAAGTTAACTTGGTTAGATGCACCTAAGCCAATGCACAGGGACTAAGTTTTGGCTGATATATGCCATCACCCCCAGCTGTCAGCCCTGACCTGGAGGTGAGGGCTGCCCAGGGAAGTGTCACTATCCAAGGAGGAATGATGGATATGGCACTCCATTCTCTGGTCAGCTGACAAGGTGGGGATCAGTCATAGGTAGGGCTCGATTATTCGAAGGTATTTTCCAACCTCAGTGATTGTGTGACTGTTGTGAGGACTCTGTCCCAGTGACTCCAGCCATGCTACCACTCCAGGACGGCTGTTTTTAGGGGGAAACTTTGGTCTGTTGCAAAGGGAGAGAAGATGCCGTGCAAACACTGCTCACAAGGCTGGGAGACGCAGCGCCGGGGCCTGACCTGGGCCGTGTGAAGCATGGGGAGCACAGGCACAGACAGACAGACACAGACACACTCAGGCACACCCGGACACCCTCAGGCACACTCGGTTCCTCCAGGAGCGGCTCTCGGGGCGGTGTTTGCGGCCCCGCTGCCCCGAGCTCTCCCGCTCCGTCCCCTCCGTCCCCTCACGGCCGCCGCGGGGTTTCCCTGCCCGCTGCTGCCCCCTGGCGGGGCGCGGGCCCGGCGGCGCCGCGGCCGTTCCAGGCCGGGAGCGGGATCGGGATCGGGAGAGTGACCGGGAAGGGCCCGGCCCGTCCCCGCAGCCTCCACACCGCACGGCTGGGGGTACCTCCGGTGAGCCCGAATCTCCCGTTTTTCCCCATCAGCGGATTCCTGCTCGGTAGAGCCCTCCTGGCAATTCAATGGCTGCGCTGCCCGGACCTAGGGAGAGGCTCGGGCTGAGATTCCCAGTGGAATAAAGAGAAACCCGAAGGGCTGTAGTGCACACGGGAGTGTTTGGACAACATTTCTGGACCATTTAGTGCCCACGGAAGGGAGAAATCCAGAGCCCCGAAAACCTCCCCTATCTTTCCCAGAGAGGGGGCTCCTCCACAGAGTGGGAGCATCCCTCCAGCCTCCGCCTCCCACCTGGGATGGGGATCCCGGGAGCAGGTCCCTGCACAGAAAGGGAGCGCCTGTTGATCCCACAGTTCCCAGGCTGCAATGGGAATTACTCCTTCTAGCCAAGGGCAGGGACACCTTCCACATCCCAGGTTGGTCAAGACCTATCCAACCTGGCCTTGGTCACTCCCAGGGATGGGGCAGCCACAGCTTCTCTGGACAACCTGTGACAGGTTTCTCAGAAGAAAGAATTTCTCTCTAAAAAGACATTTCTGATCCAAATGCATCAGCATCACTTACCATGGAATTAGAAAGGTTCCTGGAAGTCACTGGCTATGGACGCTCTGGAGCAGCTTGGATGCTGGCTCTTGACTTCCCCAGCTCCTGGAAAACCATCTCCTGCTGGCATTGTGGAAGACCACACACTAAGGCAACAGACCTTTGAGTGATCAGGCCACTGGTGGTTACATTTATCAACCTTCTGCATCTCTAAAAAACAAGTATCATGGTATTGTTACTCTGTGGATCAATACCCTTTTGAACACACAAATGACAGGTTTGTCCCCAGTTATGTGACTAGAGAGCAGTGCTTTATTCACACCTGGGGGTCTCCACCTCCAGCATCTGTCCTAACCATGGCAGTCCTTCACCGACAAAATACACATCACTGTATTGGTAGAGCACAAAAAAATCATGCTTTGAGGCAAACTGTTACATGGATATATTTATTGCATTGCAGTCTTAGCAATTTTAAATATAAACATTTATACCTGGAAAGCAGAATATTGCAAATTCAGTATTATCCAATATGTTCATAGCAGCATCAGCTTCCTAAGAAACAAAATGTTTAGGAAGACAGAGAAGGAATTACAAACAAGTTACACCCTCATTTATCACCATCTGACCCAAACATGGAACTGCAGCTGTGAAACAGATATTGAAGTCACCAAATGTGACCTTGAAGACGTCAGTGATTTCAAGACTGAAGAGTGTTTTTGTACCTGATTCCCCACATGGTTTTCGTGTGCCAAGGTGAGGTTAACTAACAGTCACGAGCCTGGAGAGGGCAGAGGGTTGATGTATCTGCATTACCTGACAGAGAGAGTTTTGATAACAACACTTGGCACTTGTGTAGCATTTACCACTTCCCCAGCTCCTCACAAGACAGGCAAGGAGTGCTCTTGGATGTGCTACAGCTGTGGAGCATCAGGGAGAGGGATGAAAATGACCTGCCAAGGCCATTCAGTGAACAAGAGGCAGTGAAGAGAGTGGAATTTGTCAGTCCCTGACTTCCAATTCCATGTCGGTCTGGTGGCTCATGCTGCTCCTCTGTGGCTCCCTAAGGAAGTTTTACAGGTGACTCACTGCTTAACAAGCCCCAGCCCGTGCAACTACAGCGGGTGTGTGCACCATTGAAAAGAGGTCAACCCACCTGTTACCCTTGTAATGCCATTTTAGTTTTAGAGAAACCAAACATTTTTCTGATCTCATCCTCTCAGAATAATATGTCAGCTGAAGACACCTTGGCACAGCTGCACTTTGCTCTGAAGCAGTGGAAATCAGAAGCAATCGCTATAGGAGCAGCTTTCATTTCTTTCCTGAGGGAGAGCACTGATCTTTTGAGAGGAAAAAAGGATGGATATGTTTTCACACAAACTGATCAAACTACTTTTCATTCTAAACGAATACAAGACTGACTGAGAGTCTCAAGTGTACTAATTTTTTTTCAACAAAGTCATCCAGGTGCACACCAGAAAGCTAGAAGCTAATAAGATAGTTATCCAGGAACATCAGGAGGCATTTCCTTCCCTGACAGGCCTTCACTTCCACCAGCTAAGAGCAAGAGCACTTACAGTGACATCTGAAAGGACTTGTAAACATCATGAGACAAGCATCTCTGCTATTTCCCCATTAAAATAGTCCTTTCTCCTGCACCCCAGGAGGCCAAGGAAAACCAAGCCTTCTCCATCCCCACCTCAAAAGGGCAAATTTGCTTAGTTCCTTCTTCTCCCACTGGGTTTCCTCTGCAAAATGTTAAGAGGCAGGATCAAGCATGTCAGTCATTAGGGCTGGAGCCTGGCAGAGATTCCAGGGGCAGTTCAGGTGCTGAAAGACTCACAGCAGAAGGGAGGCTGCAGTCAAGAGCTGGCTCAGCATCCTCCCCTTCATCTGCAGAGCTCAACTGCCCAGTGCTGGCAGGATTGTGCCCAAGGCACAGGTTAGAAAGCCACTTCCCATGTCAAGGAGTTACCACCACCTGAGTAATTCCTTTCCCCTCCTTTGTCTTTGCCTAATATTCCATTTAACACTACTCTCTGTCAGTGTGAAGCCATTCCCCCTTGTCCTGGCACTCCAGGCCCTTGTCAATGGTCTCTCTCCATCTTTCTTTTAAGCTCCCTTCAGGTACTCGAAGGCTGCAATTAGGTCACCCCAAAGCTGCTCTTCTCCAGGCTGAACAATCCCAACTCTCTCAAGTCTTTCCTGGTTTGCAATACTTTAATTACAATCAGAATTTCAAAAATTCTGTAAAAATTTACTTTTCAGCAGCAGCCTTTCCTAATGTTCTAACTTACTTTTCCAATATTATTTCTAGTCAGCAGCAGCCTTTCCTAATGTTCTAACAGACTGTCTTAGCATTGCTATTAGCACAAACTTGAATTTTTTTAGCCAACGTCAAGAAGCGAAAGCATGAACTGAAGTAGTTCTGGGCTGCAGATGCTGCAGACCTCAGCATTCATATTTTACACTTGGCAGTGCAGGCAGGAGAGAAAACATCCTCATATTAATTGGCAGTATTTGCAGTTATGCTCTGAGGCAGACACTGGAATATACCAGAGCAGCTTCTCAGGCAAGAGCTGTCCTGGCTGAGGGAATCACTGCATCTCCTCTGAAAAGCTGCAGACTCTGCCTTCCAGCTTCATCCAGTGGCAGAGCTTGTGGTGTAAGTTGGTGTTTATAACTCTGATCTGTTTAATCAAAGACAGGAAGTTCACCATAAACATCTTCATAAACTCAGTGTTTTCAGTCTGCTGTCCCTGCTCCATTTTCCTTCAAGACTCTGGATCAAATCATTTACATCTGTCTCACTTAGGTCAGTGCCAGTAAGAAACAGAAAGGCTGAGTGTGGGCAGAATGTCGGACAGAATGTCAAATTCAATAAAAATTACACACCTTTTTACTCTGCCTCTTTTTATCCTGCACACCTCTTCACCCAGTGATTCACAGCTGCAAGTGGGTGACTGCAACAACAAACTAGGAAAACCTAGCACTTTGTGAAGGAAAATAAGTAAAAAAAATTTCTTTAAAAGTTTCAAAAAAATCAGTTTACTCCGAAAGGTAATATTAACCAAGATAAATAATTCTTCTGACCAAATAATTCCAAAAATCTAAAGAGAACAGTATGAAAATGAAGAACAGCCAAAGGCTCTTTGAATTCAAAACTGGATGGGGTAACATTCCTTAGGGAAGGGTAAAAAACCAGGGGGCACTCAGGCCTGTTCCTGCTGAGACACTGCCCTGCTGAGGGAATGCTGCAGAAGAAACAATGAATCCAAACACTGAAGGAGAAGAAGCAGATGGAAAACAGCACTCACTGATTAATTCAGTAATCACCTGCAGAGGACATGCTAACTACTTCACTCTAGGTCAGAAAAAACCCTTCCAGGCAATTAACAAGCTGGATGAGTCAATGGAGAGAAGGAACCAAACCCACATAAGATTTTTTCCCCTTTGGCCTTACCTTTTCTACAACCACAGCCCAATGAGTGTTTGATAAAAACAAAGCACCTCTGCAAAAACATTTCCTAAGAAACAGTCCCAGAAATTAGAAATTATTTTAAAACTTCCTCAAATTATCCCAACTCTTCTTTGAAGTTATTGCAGAAAACTGCTCCCTGCAGTAACTGGGTGCCTCACCCAAACACACTTTAAGAACCACTGCTGAGCACCAGGCTGAGCAAAGTCCTAGAAACACAGGACAGGTGGCACCTGTGGATCCTTTCTAGGGAGGTTTTCATATTTGCCCAAAGCTTTTTCACTCTCATGTTGCTCTCTGTTTCTCACTCTTCATTCCTTAGCACAAAAGACTTTGGTGTGTTTGTGCTCACAGCATCACTGCAGCAAGAGATGAAGGGCTGAGAGCAAAAAACTTTTTGAACAAAAAAATTTTATGTTGAGTTTGGAAAAGGAAAACCACAGAAAAAAGCAACCAGAAACAATTAAAAAAAACCACTGAAACCCAAAGCTCATTTGGTTCCAAAGGTTGTTTTCTTCTTTTTTAAAACAGATTTAGGAGAATATTTCAGTGAGGTAGAAGAACCCATTTCAGAACATGACATTCAATTTTATTTAAAGAGCAATGTTATCTGAAGTATTGAACAAGCAAGTGACAACACACCTACAAGATCACTTGCTTCATCACAATCACGATGCTTGAAAGAGACAAAATCCATAAGACAGCATTTTAATAATGCATTTTAAAAATACACAATGCCAGAAAAAGTGGGAAAAGGAAGACATTTTGGAAGATCTGAAGTTGTAGAAGAGGAAGCAGCAGTATTTAGGAAGCAGCTTGGAAATAATGAGAAAAGTGGACAGGAAGGTAGGATACAAATGAAGAACCAAAAAAGAATTCTTTGAATCTAAATTGGAAGAGAGCAGTTTAACCAACTTCACAGATGAGAGGAGGAACATTTTAACAATGAGGTAGTGCAAAAAAAGTAGATAGTCGATAATCCTTAACCAGGTTTGCTCACCAAGGTGATGATTCTGGAAGAACAGGTTAGGGATGATATAAAAATCAAGGCACAAACTTAAGTCTAAGCACCAGCATTTTTCATAAAATGTAAACAAAAAAACTCGTAGATGTGAAGCAACAAACATCTGTAAGGTTTCAGGGAAAAATCCATTATGAAAGGAAACATTGACACTTCCAGCAGCAACTGAGAACTTGGGAAAGTGTCAATCAACAGGAAAGGCAGCACAGCCACAAAGACATTCATGGTAGTTGTATCTTAGTTAATGCACATGGCTTAAACTAGGCAGACAAACAGATTTAAAAATATGAGGTGAAGAAAAGCAAGAATTCAATGAACTGTCACTGTATGTCAGCCTGAGGGTGATCTGACACCCTTTGGTCAAATATGAAAGAAAGAGGAGAGGTCAGAACCAGTGGCCTTTGGTACTAATAGAAAAGGAAGAGAGGAGTCATCCCAAGCAGCTGAAATAAGAACAAAGCTGCCAGAAAACAGAGAGGAAAATCCCCACAACCATAAGGAAGAAAATACTCATTTGTAATAAAAGCTGCTGGGAAATCAGGAGCAGATATAAGCACCTTTTTTCTAGCTTCACATGTTTCTAGTAATTTGTGAGGTTTCTGGTTAGTACATAGAAAGCCAACCAGGAAAGGGTGCAGAAAGCCAGGACAACAAGAACAGTCTTTGTAAACCAGAATTTAGAATGTCCTGAGGAGACAAAGTACTGACAGGAGAAAGAAAAAAAAAAAAAAAGAAGAAAAAAAGGGAAAAATTGCAGAGCATATGAACACAAACATGAACTTTAAGTAAAGCAGGGAGGGCAAACAAGAACCTCCATGAGAAGAATCTTTTCAGTGCCTAGTCTCAGTTCACAGAGGGATGGGATTACAGTAGTAAAGCAATGATTCAGAAGAAGCTGCAGAGAGTATTTAATTTTTTTCTTCTCTTTTTCTCCCTTGATGAAACTATTTTGCCTCAACTGTACTTTTTATTCTGTCCCAGGCTGAACTTGGCTTTGAGCTCAGTGGCTGAGCTCATCAAGCCCCATGTCATATGAAATGTTGACACAAGTTTCAAGCTCCCCCAGAGGCAAACAGCTGCTTTGTGTGTCCAGAATGCCTGCTAAATGATTTCTGTGATTCACCCAAACACCAGACATATCCCTAACGACCAAGCAAGCAGAATGCTGCATCTGCAGCAACAGAAATCCATGTCACCCACAGTACAACCACTCAATTTGAGAACTCAGGGCATCTATATGCAATGTAAATCCTGCTATAAAGCAATTTCCCAACTTCAGCTTAAACACACAGAGCTGCTGCAAAGCACAAGGCAGTTGATATGAATACAGAATAGCAGCATGAAATCTCCTTTGACAACAAAGAGAACAGGCTACATAATGAAACAGCTTCATTTACCCTCAAACTTCTGCAGGTAGGTTTTTTGGAAAGCAGTTCATACCTGCAGAACCCTGGCCTGACCTGCAGTAATTCAACAGCCCTGCTAAAATGAAACACTGATGAGTTGAGTTTGACTTCTATACTTCAAAACCTTTGCAGGCACATCTCTAAAGCTCAACTGGAATTAGATGATGCATCCCTCACGTGGACAGGAAAGACCCATGAAGATTCCTGCTCCATGAGAACTGCTGGAGACACAGCAACTCTGGTTTCAATAGAGGGAGCCTGAAAGGTGTTTAAATACAGGACAGGTGTGCTAAACACAAACACACCTGAGAAAAACCCAATCTTTGCCAGCTTCACTCTTACACTTAGTAGCAAGTGGGTGAAATATAAAAGGATAATTTTCCATCTTCACCCACAGATAAACTCCAAACAGGGAGGTCTCTGAGTCAGCCACATCATCTGCTTGCTGGTAACAGGGCCAAAGCACAGCATTACAAAGAGAGACTAAGCTTTGATAGAAACAAGTTACAGTCTTGCCATCACACACATTCAAAGATTACTTTACAATTAAGAGGTTTTCTATCACACAGAGCATTACAGAGCTAACTATGGCAAAGAGGCCAGTAGCCATCAGCAGGATGTGACTCCAATGTTTTATAAACTGTTTCAAAATTACCATCAGAATTATGTCTGGAAAAGAGGACATCCATGTAACAGCAGCAGATAAACTGTTGGTCTCATTAGCAATTTCCTCTTGATACTACTCAGAATGTGCAAAAGAGCATTTCTGATTTATTGAAGGTCCAGATCTTATCCATAAATGTGTGCCACAAGTAGTTCCTGTAACAGAGTACACCAAAATTCTCTTACAACCCTCTCAATTTAGCTTCTTTTTAAGAAACAGTGGGATCTGTTTCTTAAAACATATCACAGAAACAACTGTGTTGCTGACCTTCTCCTGAGATCCCCAACAGGGATCTAAGGAGGCTGCTTTGGCATCAAGCCCAGGATGCTCAAGTTACAATTCTTTCCCCTGCCTTGAGGTGGCAATGGGAAACCAGCCACGGTACCATCCTACTCAATGACAACTCTAAATAGCAATGGGAGCTGCAGCAGCAAGTCATGCTATCAAATAAATACTCTGACAAAGGCTCAGCCAAGTCAATGTGCTAAATGGACAAGCAAGACATTCTCTCCTCGAATAAAGATCTGGTTTATGTGGCGTGTGAACACCTGCTGATAATCCACCTTGGGCCGCCTCCTCCTCCGGGGCTGGCTCCTCGCTCGGGCCCCACGGGCGCTGGCCCCCTCTGTGTGGGCAGTCCTGCTGCCCACATCAGCTTCACTTCTGTCACCTGGGGTCTTCTTCTCTCCAGCTCTGCCCAAGTGTTTCTGCCTCTCACGCTCCTCTTCTGCTCCTCTCCCTCTTCCAGACCCAGCCTTCAAACTCAGCATATGAGAGTCATTTGTCAGGGCCAGCTCCTGTGAGACAGTCTTTGAGTCAGCTCCCTTCTTCCCCGAGGACTCCTGCAGCTTGAGTCTGTCAAACAGCTGCAAAAGGACAGTTGTATGTATGACCACACTCGTAAAACAAGAGAGGCCGCTTGTTCCACACTTCTACATTGCATTTTCATGTACAGTCACAAATCAGCTCACAAGACACAGTGACAAATCTCCACCAGGAATAAAGACCATGTTTGCTTACCAAAGTCAAACAGTGACAGAAGGTGAATGAGTATCTTGCGTGGTCATGACTGTCTTAATGTGAGCACCAAGGAATTTAATTTTGGGAGCAACACTGCTGTGTTTTTAACTTTGTTCCTTTAACTTTGGTCAGGAGAAACAGAGATACCAAGTTGCCCCTACAGCTCACTTTTCCCCATGTTCTTTTAATGTTGTCAGACAGTTTTAGAGAGATTTCCATCCCTGCATCATGAATCCCTAAGATAAGGGGCCTCCATTAGCAAAGTCTGTACACTGAAAAACAGGGATTTTTTGTGTTCCCCAAAATAAACTAAAAGATGACATGTGGGTATTCTGGGAGGTGAGCAGATCACAAACAACAGAAAAATAATAAAAGCTACATCAGCAGACCCAAAGCACTGTATGAACTCATTAATCTAAGAACACATGGTGCTGAAACAGGAAAAGAAATTGCTTTTACTCTGGCAGCAGACAAGCTTTTATGAAATAATGACAAATGAGATTTTTGGTTAGCCTCTCTCTTCCCAGCAACAGGCTGGAAAGCCAATGCCTATGAGAGTGAGCTAAAGGAACAATGACAACTTGATTATTTTAAACTAATCTTTAAAAGAAGGAAGGGTGGGATCTACCAGAAAACAGATTTAAATGGCAGGAATTTAAAAGCAAACCCCTCACAATGAAACATTTTAAATGCTTTTGTGATGCTTCTCTGATGTTCAAAAGGCCTGGAGCTGTTGCCATTCAATGGGCACTGCCCTGCCACATTTTTTTCCCTTCATTGTTCAGAAGTTCATCTATCATCTCTTCAGTTGTCAACGTGGTAAACAACTCTATTTGCAGCTGGATCCTAGAGAGTGGAGAGCTTTGGAGATCTTGGGCTTCACAGTACCCAGGCTGGAAGCTCAAGTGACCAAGTGTGTTGTTCCTCTGGCTGCAGACATAGACTGTGCCATGAGGAACTTCAGTACCAAAGGGATGCTCTGCCACATTTTCTGGCAAGACAAACACGGACCTGATCAGTCCATGGTGCAAAAAACACACAGAACAAATCCCACATCAAAACCCACACAGTGAGCTTCTAGAAGTTCAGCATGCTACATTAAGCAGTGGCAACAATTCTGATCTGATTCTAAAGTGGAGCTTTAGTAACAGTGAACAACTAAAGTACTTTCAGAAAGATCAGAAAACATTTTGGGTATTTTTTTTCTCAGTTCAAGTTATTTTAGAGTCACCTGTAATAAAAGGAGGTAAAATATTTCAAATTTAATCACAGGTTCCAAATCAATGCTCCCCTTTTCTTTGAAAAAGGAGATCCTAATAAGAAAGAAAACAGCAGATGTCACCTACTCGGGTCAGTGACAGCTGAGGTTCTGCATAGAAGGCTTTGCCCATTACTGGTTTCCTGTAAGTCTCATCCACATCTGTCAGGGCCTAAAAAAGATGAAAGAAATGGAAAGATTGAAATTAAAATAAAACATGAAGCAGCTTTGGACCAGCTTTGTGTCAAAGCATTATGAAATTATGTTCTGAGAGAAAATCTGTCCCAGGAACAAGCTGTGCTTTGGAGCTGGTTTGTTAATCATCTAAATTGTACTGAGGTATAAAAGCAGCAGTGAAGTTCATTCTGCATTACTTGCAAAATCTGTGATCCTTGATTGCAAAATCCTTCCCTCCTCCCCACTTCCAAACTTCTCACACCTCCAGGCTCGGGAATATTTAATAGCTGCTTTTCCATCTACTGTCTTTAAGATCTTCACAAGGTAGAAAACAGGGAAAAGCTTTTGTCACTGGCAGCTCAGGGATGTTAGTGAGAGAAAACAGGGAAGCACTCACCACTACAGAAAGATTGGGTTTTGCAGAGAAAGAAAGCTCTGGAAGCTTCTGATATTCCTCATATTCCACCTTTCTCTGTTCTGATACAACACTATGAAGATGTTGGGAACTCTTCAAAGCTTCTCTCTCACCTAAAATCTCTCTAAGATGGTTGAGAACCTCCCAGATGTACCAGTCCAACACCAAGTTCCACTTAAGTCTGAAACCCAGCACTTGGTACTGGAGCAAATTAGTTTGTGAACCACAAAACCACATTAACATTCCCTGCAGGTCGTTTGCTTAAACCTGTTGCAAATTTCAAGTTTTCAATACAACAGTTACAAATGAAGGGCTGGAGCAATAATTACCATATTCCAGAATTTGTCAAATGCAACCAAAAAGCCTGTGCAGACTCCACGAAGCCCTTTGAAAGTGCGGATGTGGACATTAATTCTGACACCATCTCGGACACAGCGATGGAGCTCCCCCAGTGGGCTGCCTTCATGGACTAGAACAGAAAGAGAACATCACCAGTCTCCATCAAAATACACAGAACCACAGAACAAAATCATAGAATGGCCTGAGTTGGAAGGAATGATTAAAGATCATCTTCTTTCAACTCCCTCCCACAGGCAGGGACAGCTTCCACTAGACTAAGGTTGCTCAGAGCCCCATCCACCCTGGCCTTGAACACTTCCAGGGCTGGCACAGCCACAGCTCCTCTGGACAATCTGTGCCACAGCCAAGAATTTCTCCCTAATATCTAATCTATACCTACTTTTTTTTTTTTTTTCAGTTTGCAGCCACTCCCGCTTCTCCTGTCACTACATATTTTTGTAAAAACTCTCTCTTCAGTATCTACCTATCTAAAAACCACATAGAAATCCACTCTATGTACAAGTATGGCTTGGCACAACACTTGTGCTCACAACAATAGCAATGAAGCCCCAAGCACTGTAGCACACTGTGGTTGCCATTACCAGACCACCAAAACTCTTCTTACAATGGGTAGAGCCAAGACCAGAAAATATGAAGGTTTTGCTTTACATAGCCCACAGCCAAATCAGCCTTAGCTGGAGATCTTTTTGCTACAGTTCAAAAACATGCCAAGTAATCCAAACTGTAAATAAAAGTAGTTGAGAGGGAACAGAAAGCTCACAGGGGCAGAGTTAGTTCCACAGAAAAGAAAAATGCCTGGTTAAGGCTACCTCAGATTAGTTATGAGCTGTGAATAAAGAATTGTAGCAGATTTGTTCCTTTTCTTTACAAGGGGATTTCTGAAACAATGAATGACAAAGATCCTTCAACTTACTAAACTGGACCAGTTTAAACTGATGAAAATGCATTGTTTCAGTCAAGATTTCAGCAGCCAGCTGAACATCCTTCAAAGTCCTACAAGTCTCTGGCAAGGAAATAAAATTACTCTAAGGAGCAGCCAGCAATTAAACCATGCTAAAGCCCAGGACAATAATGCTTTAACCAGAGCAAAAGTGAAGGAATTCAGTAAAACATACAGCTTGCCTGGCTCACACAAGTCTTGTCTTCACACCAGAAATCTTTGCAAGTGTAATTTATCTAGAGGAATAGATATTATTTACAACTTCCACCCATGCCTTGATATCCATTTGCAAACACAGCCCCAGGATTGCTGTACAATTCCTACTAAGAGTTAGACTTGGTCTAAAATCTCACATGGTTCTCCACATTAATAAAATATGTGAGCCAGAGATGACCTCTGACCTTGCACTTTAGGGACTGTACATTCAAGGTTTGATTTGCACACCAGAAAATGCTTCCTGTGAGTGTAAAGTGACTATGTAAAACAGCTGATCTGCAGGACTGGGCTGCAGGGTAATTCATGGCCACAGCAGGGAAATCTAAATCAGTTTCCTCTGAATTAACCTAATCACATTTATTTTTTGAGATCCATTGTCTTCTTGCCAGCCCTCTCCAGCTGGATGACTGCAGGAAATTGGTTTCACACGGAGCATAATCTGTCTCAGCACCTCCCAGCCTTGCCTAGGGGGTCTTTCCATGAGCCTCTGTCTCCTTCAGCTGAACTGATAACAAACATGTTCTGGATTGACAGATCCATCACAGGAACCACAGATGACACCACCACGATATCAAATTGATGCTTCCAATCAGAAAACAGTATTTTTTCTAACCAACCATGACAACTTACATAATAATTTAAAATCCAGACTTATTTTTGATTTTAAGTTCCAATATTTCCTTTTAAGTAGGAACTCTGTCTACAACTTTTTACAGAAATCTACATCCAACCCTTATTTTCAACTATGCCTCTGTCTCTCAGCACCCAGGAAAACACTACACAGCTCCACCAAATCTACACTCTGCCCACCTTTCCTTGCTGTGTAAGGTTCTGGCTCCTCCATGGCAAACTTCCAGCTTCATCTGAGCAAAAGGGCAGAACATACTATCCAAAAACCTCTCAACAACTTGATATTCTGAGAAAAAAATAAAACCAGCAAGGCAAGGCATTTATTTTTGGAACACACCTCCTCTGCAAGCACCAAGGGCTGTAACGAGCAGGCTCTGCACACAACTAAATCTGCCTGTGCCATCTGCTTTGGTACAGACCAGCATGAACAATGTTTCAATAGACAGGGAAAAAAGTTACCCAGTGGGTACTCAAAATCCAACCCTTACCTGGATAAAAAAAGCACGTGCTTAATACCAGAACTCTGAAAAATTACTCCAAAACTACTATAAGTAGAGGGCAAGCACCTAAAAAATGTGAAAATAAAGATCTAAACTCCGGTTAAGTTCAAGTCCTTGCCCTCAGGGCAGACTCTTATTAAGAGGCAAGATTAGAAAAACCTCAAGAGAAAAGCTGAAATAATTCAGAACACTGTCAAACACCTTTCCACCTGCCCTGCACATGAATTCTCTGCCCCTTGGTGAATGCAAATTGATGATAAATAGCTCCTCCTGAACTGATCCACACAGTCCAAGTTCCAAACATCTGTGGTGCAGACATTCCCCCAGTTACAGGAAAAGCACACGACTTTGGCTATAAATCACTCTTAAAACACCCCAGGCTGCTGAATAGCACTTTCTGTATCAGCTGTGCCAGACCTCTTTGAAGTCCAGATATGGATGTATGGATATTACGTCGGATATTAAGGAGGTGTTCTTAATTGTTCTTAATTTTTACAAGTTTTTTTTTTTTTTTCAATTTTCATTACCAGTGCAAACTGAGATATTTTTTATTAGGATCTGAAATCAACATTTAAGGTCAGTTTTCTGGAAATCCTGGGCCAACAGAACCTCTGCATTTGTGCAGAACACTAAGTGTAATACTTAAGATCACACAGCAACTATAGCAATGAACACATTGTGTTCTAATGTCTAAGCAAGAAAAAGGTTTTGCCTTGGGCATTCAGAATTGAACATTTTGGGCTTTGCCTTTTTAGAAAAAAAATATTTAAGGCGATGGTGCAAAGATAATTTGATTCCACAATGAACCCCAGTGTTTTTAATTAAGTGCACTAAAGTTACATCTCACCTGCCATTTGATTCTTGGTGCGAGGGCACAAGTAGCACCTCTTCATTTTTAGGGGATGTTTACCCTGACCGCACACACAACAATTTTACAAGAAATACGTATCATCATCACAGCTGATGAATTTAAATTTACATCACAGCTACCTCTCACCTCAATCCACTGCTCTGCCATCCTGTTACCAGAAATGCCAGTATTTCTGCCTGCAGGATGTTTGGTTAGCAACCAAGTAACAGCAGTGTGTTACAGACTTTCCCTGTGGTTATGGTTAAACTACATCCTGGACTGACCCAAGTATCAGTCATGGTCTAAAACAGTACTTTTGAGAATATAGCAGTGTCTCATCCTTTTTCTCCTTAAAACCAAGAGGATGTATGTAATTCACCAGTTAACAGAGCAGAACATCACTACAACAAGTCAGTATCATCTCTGTGTAAGCAGCTCTGTGAAAAGCTGTTCCTCATTCCCGCACACCATTTCAGAGAATCACGGAATGGTCTCGGTTGGGAGGAACCTAAAAGCCCACCTTGTTCCAATCCACCTGCCATGGCCAGGGACACCTTCCACTATCCCAGCTGGCTCCAAGCCTCATCCAACCTGGCCTTGGACACTTCCAGGGATGGGGCAGCCACAGCTTCTCTGAGCAACCTGTGCCAGGGCCTCAGCACCCATCAAACGAAATCATTGCCCCCACACCACCCACACCTCTGTCACCCAACCGCTTCCGCCAGCCATCGCTCCCTCCTCACCCCCAAACTCCCCCAAACTCCACCGCAACTCCACGCCGGCCCAGCCGCAATCCTCGACGCAGCTCAGCACGACCCCGGCGCTCACAGCCTCCGCCTCCCCTCAGCCCCGGCTCCCTGCGCCCGCCCAGCCCGGGGCCGCGCTGCCCGCGCCCTTACGGGGCATCCTGGTGAGGACATTGCGCGGTGCCCGCCGCCGCCGCGTCGCCGTTCCGCCTTCAGCCGCCTCCTGCTCGGGGTCCGCGTTGACCATGAGGCTGCGGAGGCGCTGGATGCGCTCGGGGTCGGGAGCGGGCCGGCCCCGGCGGGACGCGCGGGCGGCGGGGGCACCGCGGCGGCCGTGCGGGCGGCGCAGGCCGCGCTGGAAGCTCTCGTACTCGGCGAGGTTGTTGAAGCAGGGCGCGGCGGGGAAGGGCAGCGGCGTGCGCGGCGAGTAGAGCGCCAGCAGCGGGTCGAAGCGGCTGGAGCTCACATCCAGGCGGCCAGGGCTGGGCGAGCGGCGGCGGGAGCCTCGCGGCTCCGCGCTCGCCGCGCCCGCCTCGTCCTCCTCCATGCCGGGCTGCGGGCGGCCGCAGCGCCCGGGGCCGCCGCCAGGGGGAGCTGCCGCTCAGCGCCGTGGGCCTGAGGGCGGAGCGGCCGCCATGGGCGGGAGGGACCCGGGAGGGACCCGGGAGGGACCGCGGGGAGCACGGAACCTCCCTGCTGCATCCGGCACCGGGGAGCGTCCAGCAAAGGCCGCAAAGATGGTGAAGGGTCTGGAGCATCTCTCTTTTGTAAGAGACGCTGCGGGAGTTGGGCCTGTTTGGCCGAAAAGACTCAAAGCGGGGTTTCAAAAGGATGGTGGCAAACAATTCGCGGTGACAGGACGAGGAGCAGCAAACACAAGAAATTTCACCTCAAAATGAAGAAGAACTTTACGTTGAGGGTGGCAGAGCACTGGAACAGCTGCCTGGGAGTGGAGTCTCCCTCTCTGGAGACATCCCAGATCCACCTGAACACGTTCCTGGATAACCCGCTCCAGGTGTCCCTGCCCTGGCAGGGCAGGTGGGCTGGATGGTCTCCAGAAATGTCCCTTCCAACCCTGACAAATCTGTGATTATTTGCAGTTACCCTTCACTGGTGCAACCCTCCCCTGCAGCCCAAGCTGGGGACCGTCCCCGGATGGGGGACCAAAGCCCCCTGCCCCAGGCCATGAAATCCACCTGGGCAACTGGCGGTTGCAATGTCATTTAATGCGCAAAAAGATACACAGGGCACAGTAATTTCACTGAGGAACAGCAAGGAAATGCTTTTTTATAGGTTTTACTATAATGATTCACCATCTCCATTACTGTTTCATAACAGGTTCCTGTACCTTTAATGTTTCTTGTTATGGCAATACATCAGCCACAAGTTGTTCACCTTCAGAAGAAACACTTCTTTCTTCACTGGCTCCCAGTACAGGACTCCTGCACAGAAATACCCGTGTGTTGTGTGTGCCACCAACACCAGGCTGCTGCTTGAGCCTTGGGAATAGCTACTTTCCCCTACTGCTGCAGAGTCATAGAAATGCACATCTTACACATGAAGATACCACAGGGAGTTTCTTTCTCTAGCATTTATCTTAATACAAATTAAAGGCCATGGTTGTACAGATAATCCTGATCATGGTTCCAAAGTCTGCATCCATATGTGAACAGCTATGTTGACTTGTTACATATTATTGTAAGAATGAGTTAATTAGAAAACACTATGACCTAATACAGACCTGTTTTTTATATACACACACAATGTACATACATAAATATACTGTAGGATGTATCAGGCAGCCATAATATATAACACAAAAAACCTATATAATACTTTCCAACATAAATCATGGCTGCCAAATTATTTTTTTAATCTTTCATTTGTTACCAGGCTGAGTAAATTCAGCTGTTACCAGTTCTGGAACAGCTGCTTCGTATGTAATGTCCAAAGTCAGGCACCAAGCAGTAACACAGAATTTCAAAGTCAAGTAAATTGCATTTATGTTAGAAGATAAAAAACCAACAAAGTTCTTATGAGCAAATAACTGGTGCAATGATTCATTCTGAATCATTATCTTACCATCAAGCCACATCCTCTTCTTAGGAATCACACAGCCCATTCTACAAACTAAAACCAAAATACATTCTCTCATTGCATGTACTTAACCAGTACAGAGAAGTAGGGGGGAAGCCCTGTGCTATTATAAACTCACAGACTCATTGCCTAATCTCAGGAACAACTCACAAAGTTGAAGTTTACATCAGCACCTGGTCAGGGTTTGTTTTTTTTTTTTTTTAAAAACCACCAAAACCATATTGCCTTAAATGTGTAAGTTCTTCTTCAAGAAGGGGAAACAGAGTAGGCTGATAAGAGAATTCACAGGAATCTAACTCAGTACTGTGATCTTCTTCAGTCACACTTGATTCTTTCTATTTTTATGGCCATGTCTTTGTTAGCAACAACTTGCCCAGTTACTGTTCTGGATGCTTTTGCAACCAGCTTCTTTAAAATCAGTAATAGCCATATAAGCACCTATCATTATAGCTGTATTTCTACACTAAAATCGGTTATTTCCCTCAAATTCCAATTACACTGGGAAAAACCCCTCTCCATGAGCAGAAATATTTCTGCTCTGAGAGGTCAATTTTGACAAAGAGTCTTAAGTGACAGTTAAACCAGAACAGAACTGTGCATGGAGCAGGCAACACACACTCCTCCCTTCCCTCTAACAAACGTGGATTGGCAGCACTGCTCTGTCTGTGTCATTCCCAGGCAGATCAGAAAGCAGCAGCACAAATTTTTGTTGGCTCCCTCTTTCCAGGCACCTGGAATGTTCTGCTGTGTTGTGCTGTATTTTTTTTTAAAATATGCTGTGTTGTGCACAACAGGAGACAGGTGAATTCCCAGGCCATGGAATACGAGGAAAGATATCCACCCATGTCCTAACAGAATTCCAGCCTGTGCAGTACCTTTATTATTAACTTCACTGCTTGGAACTGTCACCACTTACTAGTTCAAGTCCCAGGAATGAGAAAGGCCACATAATAAAATACAGCAGGGAAGGTACTATTATTTATATTTTTTAAAAGTATAAAAATCCTGTACATTTGACAAATACTTTTAAAATCAAGCATAGAAACCTGCTGGGCTACTCCACTGCATTTCAATAAGAATCAGACATCAGGCAGCTGAACTGTTTGTCACTCATCTGACTAAACACACCAGTCTTGAAATTTAATACTAAATCCCAAATGAAGTATTCTGGTCCATCTCAGTTAAAACAAAAATCAAACTAATAATTTTCTGTTCAAATATTCAGGCTTTTTTATAGTTCAGCAGTACAATAAAATACCTCATTGTTTAAATGCTATAGAAATACACGAAATTTCTACATACTGTTTTTACAAATACACATGTACAAGGCAGGAACAGTCTTAATTCATGATGAGTTCTTAACATTCAAAATATAGTATGATTTTAGCCTTCCATGTGGGCATATCCTTGTATGTCAGACAGCACCAGTGTCTTCTTTTTAGGCAGCAACAGTGCTAAACCCTTCTGTAGCTGCTGAAGAGGGTTCCAGGTCAAACTCTGCCAGCCACCATTTGTATTCCTCACTTGCCAACAACCCAAGCAGAGCAAAATGTAAACTACCAGTTATGCTCATCAGATATCAACTATCCTCAGCCAGAATCTCAGGATATTCCTCCCAGAACTGGTCCCCAATGATGTCACAGTGCAGGGGAACAACTTTAGTCTTAGTACGGGTCACTTCCACTTCTTTTTCTTCTTCTTCCTTTGGCAGTTTTATTTTCTTAGTGATGACTTCATTAATCTGAAAATGACACATTAGCAGATATAAAAGGCTCCAGAGTGGATTAAATAATTCTAATGAAAAAAACAAAGGACAGGAATTTCTCCCACTAAATCAATGATGCAATCGTAAAATAATGAACATTTACAAGTTATCTTAAAGCAGAAAAGGACTAAGCCAACTATGAGCTGAGCCACCTTATTGAACAGAAGTTTGTAATTCCTTTGCCATGGATATACTTGGGATCTAATCCTGGGAAGGGCCTGGCCCCAGTGATACACACATTGTCATCTGTTGATACATGTTTCATCTCAATAGTCATAATTTGTATCTAAGCCAAACTGCAGAGTCTGGTTTTTATATTATGCTCATAGAAACAGCTCTGAAAAACATCTCCAAAACAATGAGTCATCTTACACACACTGATATGGCAAATATAGTTAATTTTAAGATATATTTATTCCTATACATACACTGGAGATACATGTGGTGCTCTTACAGCACAGTCTGTCTGCCACACTGTAACTGTTTAAAATATCAGCCCAAAGCAAGTGGCAATAGGGTTTTTTACCTTCTGCCATATTAGCACAGTTCCTTTTCTATACATCAAAGGTTCATTGTTGTAGTTGATGTTGAATTCAGAAAACAAGATTTCATTCTTATCTCCAGCCAAAGTTCCCTGAGAGGAAAGAAAAAGAAAAATACTCTTAGAGAAAACAAACAAATTATATCTCTATGATAGAGGAGGGATCAATACTGGAAAGAAGACAGACATTTGTAAAGGTTCTTCACCTTTACGTCACAAGATTTAATTACTTTTCTCAAGAGAGGAATTAATTCCAAGAGGGTTTTTATTACATTTTCAAGACAAATGGAAGACAGTCAACAGATTCCAGGAGAAAACAGGAATAATCTGCTGAAGTCTGCACAAGTCAAAACACAACAGAAGGGACTGGCAATCAACAGGACCTGAATTCTGCCATTTTTCCTCATGTGTTTGGAAAGTGAACATTTTATGACATGTCTAAGATTTCTGAAATTGCTAACTAAGAACTTAAACCCTGCTAATACTTGACCAAAATGACAGTATTTGCTAGTGATATTAATATCTGCACAACTAAAGAAGTTGTTGACTCCATCCACAAAATTATTACAGTAAGAACAGACAAGCCAGGGCTGCTGGGCAGGCAAGACACTTTGCAAATCTTATGATTTCATTTTTAGCTGTAAAAAACCATGACTTGAGCAGACTCTTACCCGGAGCCTCTCCTGTGCTTGCCCTGGTGTCAAACCACCTCGCTGCACAAGCATCCAGAACACTGTATTATAAAGGTTATTAATATGGCCTAGAGAAAACAGAGAAATGAGTGTGAGGATGGTTATTTACCAAATCTGAGTGACTACTTAGGAAAAAACAGCTTTATTTCCAGAGCTGTAGCCAAGAAACAGCCAAGAGTAATGGGGCATTAATATAATCAGTTTCTAAAGATGACACAATGTTGCTTATAATACATTTTTAAGATACTGTATATCATGACTAGAAGACAGATTTCATAAATGAAAAAGGCACAGCAGAGGCTGAAGGATGTTTATGTATAATGTAAATTATTTTCATTTGACAGTAGGGACTAGGTACTGACAGAGGTCTACAGACAAATCCAGTGGTCTGTTCTAACATGGAATGTTCAGCACTTTTGATTAGTACGTGCTGTGAAACTGAATATTCACATCCCTTCATTA